GCAGTACATTGAAACTCCATCTGAAAAACAACAAAAAACCAGACTCAGCCAAGCAGCCATCCATGGCCTGTGGGTGGGTTTCAGGCTTCCATAGATGATGAGTCCTGGGAGCAGCTGGCGGCCCTGCTGTGCCCACCTGCTGACCCTAGGCAGTGAGCAGGGCTCATCCTTCTACCATTGGGCATTCTCTCATGCCCTTGCTATCTTCTTTCTCTTCCTGGCCCTGAGGGAGGGCCTTCGCACTGACCTACAAGCCCAGCCCTTTTAATATTTTCATTTTGAGAGTCTCCTAAATTATCCAGGTGGAGCTTGAAGTTGCAATTCTCCTGCTTCAGCCTCCCAGGGTGCTGGGATCACAGGTGTGCCTCAGGCGGGAGCCAGCCTGCCTGCCTCCCTCCAGGCAGACCTGCTGGGCTAGAAGAGGCCTCGGTGGGCTGGGTCTGTGCACAGATGAGGGTGTGAGGGTAATGGTGTCCTGAGCCTGAGTTCGGGACTAGGCAGGAGGCTGCACCATCTGTCCCTGGCTTGGTCACCTCGGCTGCAGCCTGGGCTCTGTACATCTTCTTTCCCCAGGCCTGGGCCTCCACCCTTCCCTCTCAGCCCTCCATTCCTGCTCATCCTCAGCCGTCAGCACTTTCATTCCTTCCTCCAGGAAGGCCTCCAGACTTCTGCCCCGTTCAACCACCTGCTGTGGCTTCCGGGCATATCTACTTCCCTTGGGGGTTTTTCCTTTGGTGTAGTGAGAGTTGTTTTTCAGCATGGGTGGGGATCCATCCCTTCTCAGGGCTGGGGCCCCCCAGGCAGGGGCTGCTGGTCCACTCTGCTGACCCCAGCCTTGTGCGGAGTGATTCAGAGGAACTTGTGGGCCGGGAAGGGAGTGCACAGGTGGTGCTGGATAAACTCCCCACCCCTTTCAACTGCTTTTCTCCTCCTCCCACCAGCCCAGAGCAAGGAGGGTATGGCTGGGGCCAAGACCGCCCACCTGGGGCCTGGGGTTTCCTGGGAGGCTGCTGCACTGACCCCAGGCCTCCCTGGACAAGAGCCTCAGCTGTGCCCAGCTATGAGCTGCAGGTCAAGGGCCGGTCGCTCCCTGCCCAAGCCTCAGGCGGCTCCGAACCCAGGAATAACCTCCCTGCCAGGTGACAGAGGTCAGAGCAGCTCAGGGGTCTCTTTCCTTCCCCGGTGGAGCCCCTCCTTCCTTCCACCCCATCAAGGCGAAGATTGAGTGGGAGGTCTGTCCTCTGTGGTCCCAGGAGTGAGGTGGGCACAGGGCCACAGGGGGACAGAGGTCCTGCCAGCTGCCCAGGTGAGCAGCCCAGGTGAGCAGCCCAGCTGGGAGGACACTTCCACCCCTTCCTCCCTGCAGTTCATGCTTCCTAACTGCTGTCTTTGCTGAACTGGGAAGGTATGGGGTGTGGGTCAAGTCCTAGCACAGCCCTGGTGACCTCAAGCAGGTGTCCAACCCTGTCTGGGCTTCCTTTACCTTATTCTGTAGAAATAGATGAATGGCCGGATCTTACCTTAGAGTTGTGTGGGGATGGAGTGAGGCTCGGTCTAGCAGTGGCCTAGTGTGGGCTTATTGCCCTGGGAGAAGGGCATCTGTGAGCCTGGGGTGCTGCTCCCCTGAGGGTCTGGGGGGGCACGTTGGGATGGAGCCCAGTCCTGCAGCACAGCCTCATGGTCACACTATGGCTGTCTGTCCCAGACATGGGCTCTGGCCTCCCCCCAGGGGCTTGTCACTGACTCCTGAGTCAGGAGGGGACCCAGCATGGGTGACGGCGGAGGGCCTGAGCCCCTGCTGGTGGAGACACGGCAGCTCTCCTGCGGTTCTCCTAACCCAAGGTTGCAAAGACTTTTCTGCAATTTTCTCCTGGGTGCCTGTGGTTTTAGGTTTTCTTTTAGCACTAGGAAGCATCTGGAGCTGTTCTGTCTGGTGAGAGGCGAGGAGGGAAGTTTACCATTTGGCAGTAGTGTCTGATTGTTCTAGTGCCATCGGTAGGAAGATTATTTTTTCTCTACCGAATCATGTTTATACCTTTGTCACTAACTCGATGCCTAAATGCCCATTTTGGTCTCTATTCTGATCCATTGATCTGTTTATCTTATTTTCATGCCAATACCACACTGTCCTGATAACAGTAATTTGATAAGTTCTGAAAACAAGTAGTATTGCCAGTTCTTCATCTTTGTCCTTTATCTAATTTGTTTTTACTATACTATGAATTTTGCATTTACATCTGAATTTCTTTTTTCTTTTTTTTTTGGTACCAAGGATCGAACTCAGGTCCTTGAGCTTGTGCAGCAGGTGGCGAAACCACTGAGCTAAATCCCCCGTCCTGAATTTTAATTTTTAATTTTTTACTATTTTTATTTCTTGTGGCACTCCTCCTGCCTCAGCCTCCCAAGAGCTGGGATTACAGGCATGCTTGGCTTTCCTGTTGTTGTTGTTGCTGTTATTTTGGGGTTTTTTTTTTGCTACCAGGGATTGAACTCAAGACCTGGCACTTGTGAGGCAGGTGTTGGCACTACTGAGCTAAATCCCTGGCCCACTGACAGTCTCGAATGTAGTTCAGGCTGGCCTTGAACTCACTGTAACCCAGGTTGGCCTCAACTGGCAGTGATCCTCCTGCCTCAGCCTCTTGAATACTGAGATTACAGGCATGTGCCACCATGCCTGGCCTCTTCTGGAGTTCTGATGGAGACTACGTTGAATCTGTAGATTAACTTGAAGAAAATTAATGTATTAGCAATATTGACTCTTCCAATCCATAAAAGCAGTCTCTCTCCACTTTAGTTTCTCTTGAGCAGTATTTTAGTTTCATGTGTATTGTCTTCCATATTTTTTGTCATACTTAGCCCTAAGTATTTAATATTTTGTGCTTATAAATTATATTTTAAATTTTTCAATTTGATTGCTTATTGTTAGAAGGAAAGGCAATTGATTTTTGTATATTTATCTTGTATCCTGCAACCTTGCTAAACACACATTCTAGTAGTTTTTTTGTACACCCTATTCGATTTTCTACATAGATGATCATGTTGTCTATGAATAGGGCTGTTTCATCTCCTTCCCCATCTGGCAGCTGTGTGAGGGTTTCTGGAGAAGACAGAGCCTGGGGGTGGAATTGGGTCTCTCCTTTCTGGGACCTAACTTCCATCCTCCCCCCCCCCAACAATCTGGGAGATCATGTGACAAACTATTTGCCACTCCCATGATTCCACTTCCCTGAAGCTTCTGTGTCTTCTCAGACTGTGCTCGAACCTGTCCAGGTGTCACTGGGCTGAGTGACAAGGTGAGGAACAGCCCTGGGTTCAGTCAAGTGGAACTGCCACATGTTCATTCATCCCTGGACCCCACTGTTCTGCACCCCTGCCTCTTTATTGGAGCCCCCATTGACAGGGACCAGGGCTGTTATCAGCCAGGCCTGGTGGGGCCCAAGTCCATCCTACTTGCATGTCCCTGGCCAGTTTGGTGCACGGCCGTGTGACTGCTGGGAAGGGTCTGAGCGTAAACCAGTTTTGTGTGGGAGAGCCCCTGCCGATGTGTTCAGAGGTGACTTGGCCCTTTCCTGAGAGGTGGTTCTCCTTTCATTTCTTAATATGTGATATATTAATTATTGTTTAGCATTAAATATTTTTTCCCAAGTCTTCATTATGATTTCTTTTGGGCCCCATAAATTATTTATAAATCATTTTTTGCATTTCCAAACAGTTTAGATTTAAACTGTGTCAAAGAACATGATATAGAGCTAATGAAACTAAAAAATAGACCTTAGCAGGGTGTGGTGGTGCACACCTGTAATCCCAGCACTTGAGAGGCTGAGGCAGGAGAATCGCTGAGATCAGCCTGGGCCACATAGTTCAAGGCTGGCCTACATAGCAAACTACATAGTGAGACTCTGTCTCAAAATAAACAAACAAACAAAAATAGACATTTTTGGATGCTGTTTGTTTGTTTGTTTTGGTACATGGGATGAACTCAGGACCTTGCACTTGCAAGGCAGGCGTGGTGCCAGTGAGCTAAATCCCCCAAAATAGACATTTTTTGTTTGTTTTTATTTTGGTACCGGGGATTGAACTCAGGTCTTTCTGCTTGCAAAAGAATAGACATTTTTTAAGAACAATTTTAGGTTTACAGAAAAATTTTTTTGTTGTTTTTCTTTCAAATTTTTATTAGTACATGTTCATAGTGCATAATGATCACATTCATTGTGGGGAATTGGTAAATAGTCTCAATTCCTTCTATATCCTCTTCCCCTGCTCTCCCCCCTCCCTTCATCTCTTGGTTCTTGGGGCCCCTTTTAGTCCCCACTGCCCCCTTTATTTACTTACTCTGATGGGATTTTCCAAATGGGAAGAAAACCACCAAGTCTCCCAGCAAGCGCCCACTTATGGAATTTAACAAGAGTCACATTCCACTGCGGTCACTTTGCTGAATTCAATATGAAAAATTGAAACGTGCAAAAGTAGTCAGCACTAAACCAGGACACTCACGTGCTCCCCCTCCATGGCTCCAACTTATTACCTTCCTGCCTCAGCCTCCCAGAGTGGTGGGGTTACAGGTGTGCTGCCACCACACCTGGATTGAGCTTTTTAAAGTACACCAGACGTCTAATCCCTAAACACTTCAGTATGTAAGGTCCTGATGCCATGGTCATCCGGGCCTGGGATAATCTCTGCGGACAGGTGTCCCCAGGGCCCTGCTGGGATCTCTGGGACGCTGGGGTCTGGCAGCTAGGTGGAGCCTGTGCTCCTAGGTTCCAGCACATGCTGTGGGTTTCCAAGGAGAGCTCTGTCCACATCCATGAAGCCGGGACCGTCTGTGGGTTACTCCTCCGTGGATGCAGGGGCCCCACCTTAGGGCCCACAGAACCAGGACAACCTTGGGAATCGGTCCTCCAGCCTGGCCTTGGGCAGATGGCCCCAGCCAGGGCCCTTGTGACCTGGATCCAGGGTCTGGCTGAGCCTCCTGACCTGGACCTCTGGGCTTTCCCTTCCAGACCCCGACTGGGCATCCTACACCCTGGGGGTGTTCATCTGCCTGAGCTGCTCTGGAATCCATCGGAGTATTCCCCAGGTCAGCAAGGTGAAGTCGGTCCGCTTGGACGCCTGGGATGAGGCCCAAGTGGAGGTACGCGGAAGGAGTGCAGGGGTGGGGGCAGGGGGTGGGGCTGCCTCTCTACCACTCTGGCTGTGGACGCCTCTGTGGCCTGCGGGTCTCCCACTGCTGAGGATTTCATTGATGATCCCTATGGGGGCCACAGGGGGTGACGAGAGCCAGGGCACCTGTTGTCCCCTACCTGTCCCTTTGTCAGACCCACTGTGTGCCAGGCATGGCGGGTCCAGCCAGGCAGATGAGTCGCCATCCCCCTGAAGGCCACCGTGATGGGCCGGGGACTTAGCTCAGTGGTTTCGCCGCTTGCTTGCGCAAGCGCAAGGACCTGAGTTCAATCCCCAGTACCAAAAAAAAAAAAAAAAAGAAGATACTGAAGGCCACCGTGAGATGCAAGCTGGGGCCATGCTGTGGGTGGGGGCAGTGACTTGGCCTGCAGGGCTGACCCCACAGGGAGTGGCAAGGGGAGGTGGCCTGGGTCAGGGAGAACGGTTCCCACACATCCTGGGGTGACAGATGTATTTGTGTGTTGAAAGCCCTGGGGTGCTGGTGGCCTCACGTGCACCCAGGAGCCTCTGGGAGCCTGTGGGAGATGCTGTCCCATCGAGTCCACTCACTTGTGGGGCCAGATCCTGGGCATGGGGCTGTGGGGGACCCCCACAGGGATCCCCAGGCCTCAGGGTCTGGGGTGGAGTTCGGGTTGTGCTATTAGCCCTTTTGCTGGGCAGCCTCAGTTTAAGGAGGATGGTCCCTGAATTGTCCCCCTTGCTGGTGGGGACAGAGCATCTAAGATCAATGTCAAAAAGAAGGTCAGGGCTTGGGTCCCATTTCTATCACCCTCCCACCATCCTGGAGGAGGGAGCTGCCTGGTGGGTCTCTGGGACCCAAGGCTGAGGGTTGTCCCATTGAGTGATGGGAAAAACTGGTGAGGGTGACAGGCCACCCCCATGGCAGCTGGAAGCGTCCTGAGCCTACCTGGTGGGCAAGAGGTAGCCATAACTCACAGGCTGGTGTGGCCATCTCTACCTGGCTGTGCGGGCTGGGCAGAAGGGCTCTGCCCGCTTGCTTCTCCCCTCCTTTCCTCTCTTCTCCACACTACGTGGTTATACTTTTTTTCAACTTTATATTCCTATGTAAGTTTTTATGAATGTATATGTATTTATTTGTTTGTGCCTATGGCTTTGATGATGGAACCCAGGGCCCCGTGGATGCTGGGTAGGTGCACACCACTGAGCCACACCCCAGCCCTATGGTGTGTTTTTAGACAACCATGTCATTGGTTGAATTCTCGCATCAACGTGCAATGCACACTTTATGGTTTTTCAGCATAATATTGACAGACTTGTTGACCGTCATAGCCAAGGTTAGACATTTTCAATGCCTCAAAAAGACCGTGTATCCTTTAGCTGTCAGCACTGTGCAACCCTGAAAGCACTCTGTTTAGATCTGCCTGTCCTGGGCACATGACAAAGTGGAATGACACAGGGCAAGGTCTCTTGTGTCTGGTTTCTCTCCCTGAGTGTCGTGTCGTCTGGGACCAGCCCTGCTATAGCGTGCCAGCGTGTCACTCCTGTGTGTGGCTGGGTGACTTTCACCCTTCCACACTTCCTCTATCCACTCTTCCTTGGGACCCCAGTTGTCACCAGTTGATTTTGGGTACTTTGGTGTTGTGGCAGTCTGTGTGCATGCACCCTGTCCACCCCCTGACCTGGCTGATCGCCCACCCACCGACCCTGCTCCTGTTGCCCATACAACCTGTGTATGTCTCATTTGGACACAGCAGACTGGCTCCCTCTCACTCTTGGGCCTAAAGCCTCTGAGCAGATGGAGATGGGCTGCAGTATCCCCCTGTCCCCTCAGGTTATATCCAGACTGTGTTGTCTTTCCTTACTGTCACCTCAGGGCAGTGACCTACCTTGTAGTAGGGGAGTTTCCTGGTGGCCAGGATTCCTTGAGGTGAACGTGCAAGGTTGGAGATCACACAGTTTGGTAACTGTTGAGAAATTTTTGCTGTATCTGCCCTACTGTACGGACGGACAGGCTGCCCCAGCCCAGCGTGACAGTGTCACACCTCCCGCCATCTCTGCCTCCAGTGCAGACCTTTGCTGACCCCGTGGTGGAAAACTGCTCTCCACCAAGTCTGGAGTTGGAGTTTTCTTATCTTGAATGACTCCTCAGACCTCTCTGCAGGCTTTCTGTCTGGCTGTGTGCTGTTTTCTTTCTTTTTTTGTTTTTCCAGTCTTTTTTATTCCTTATGTAGATCAGTGGGTTTCATTTTGGTAGATCATTTTCACTCCCTTGCTCTGCCTTCCCCCTGTTCACAGTTTCTTGGGGACTGAAAGTGTTAAATATATTTTGCTCACATCCACCCTCCCCGTTTCCCACCCTAACGCCCCCCGCTTCCCTCTTACTCCTTCCTCTTGCCTAATAATAGCCTCCCTTCCACTTTCTTGTCATTTCTTTTAGATTCCACATATCAGGGAAAACATGCGATATTTGTCTGAGTCAGGCTTATTTTGCTCAACAGTGATTGTGTCCAGATCCGTCCATTTTCCCACAGATGACAGGATTTTGTTCTTCCTTATGGCTGAACGCTACTCTGTTGTGTAGTGTGTGGTACATAGACCACATTTTCTTTATCCATTCATCTGTTCTTCTCAAGGCTCATGACCTATCAGGGAAATTTCCCCTCTGAGAAATTTGTAGAAAATGTTTCTTCTGGGTTGCCTTTCGGTTTTGCTCATGGTGGTTTTTACCATGGAAAGTTTTTCTTTATGTTGACCTAGTCACACAGATCAGCCCTTTCTTTTGTGGTCTTGGGTTTGTAGCACACTTAGGCCCCTCTCTACGTCAGGTTCTTCTTTTAAATAGCAGCTAAGGGGTAATTCCCATACCTCCCAGTTTGCCCGTGCAGTCGGGAGCAGGCTGGTCTAAGTGGGCTGTGGAGCTGTGCTGCCCTGACACCTTCCTGCCCCCTGACCAGCTGCCATCCCCTGGAGCCCCCACTTCCTCCCGAGTGGAATCTGCTTCCTGCCTGAGGCTCTGCACTCTGACAGCTCCTGCACCCGAGTCTGCCATGTGCAGCCCTAGGCGGCCGCTGCCCCAGCCGCGTTCCTCCCTGTGAGTGATGCTCCACTGTCCGGAAGCTGGGCTCCTTCCATTCCACTATGCTGAACAGTGCTGCCGCGGGCCTTTGAGGCTGATCTCCTTTCTCTGCAATGAATGGACTTGCTGGGAACCCTGCAAACTCTCTGACTTCCAAGCTGTTCCGGGCCCACGTCTACCAGTGACCCTCGTGGCCTGAGGACCGTGTCCTCTGCACCCTGCTCTGTCTGTGATTCTGCCCATCCTCATGGGTCTGCAGTGATGGTCACCGCTGTCTGGACTGCAGTTCCCAAAGCCCAGTGCTGTTGAGTGTCTTTTCTTTTCTTCTTTTGGAGACAGGGTCTTGCTCTGCAGCCCAGGCTGCCTTGCACTTGAGACCTTCCTGCCTCAGCCTCCTGAGTAGCTGAGATGACAGGAGTGCACCACCGCGCCTCTGGCCTCATTGCTGTATTTTGATGAATTGTGAAGAATGTGTAGACTAACAAGGAGGTGGTGTGCTTTCCGTCCCCCTGTGTCTTGGGTGGGGGCCTCTTCCGCATCTTTCAAGAGCCTGCAGCATTTTTCTCCACAGAGACTTTGGCCGTGTCTTACTGCACCACGTATTGGGAATTGTGTCCAGTTGCCATGCGTAGGAATCACTGGTATCTTACATCTCCCTAAAGGACCAAGGTTTCATATAGATAAGCTGTGGGTGTCAGAATTCAGTCTGGCGCCACCTTCTCTTGGGCGGACTTGCCGCGTGTAATTTCTTTCCTTTGGCTTCTCTGGTCCTCAGAGCACAGTGGTCCCGGAGAGCAGGATTTCTGTTGGGTGAACCTGGCAGAGGTCTCCTGGAAGAGGCCTCTGTCCGCCTCAGCCCCAGTACCACAGCAGCTGGCATAGGGCTTGGCACTCTCTGGCCCTGCCTGCAAGGCCTTGGGTATGGCCAGGCCTGGCCCAGCTCCTTGCCCCGCCAGGCGGGGGTCTCCAGCATGGAGCAGCCTTGGGGCATGCCTGCTGTGTCCCCTGCCAGATGCCCCCTTGACATGCCCATCCTGCCTGATTCAAGGGCCTCTCCGATGGGCCTCCGTGCCTTGCTGTTTTCGTTCCTGGTCCCTTGCCTGGCTGGGCCTGGGGGCTGTCTCTGGGCCTTCTCTCTGCCCACTGTGTGCCCACTGCCTAGGCTGCGGTTGGATGTGGGAATAGGGCGGAGATGGGTGGCTTGGGCTGGGTGAGACGCCAAATGCTAAGTGGTCTTGGGCAGTGGAAACCGCGTGGTGTTGGACAGGGCTCAGTGCCATCTAGGTGGGGACCTTGACCCTCCGTCTCACTCAGACATGGTGTCTGGGGACGGTAGGGCTGGGGGGTCCCTCCCCTCCCAGCACTGCCCCAGCCCTCGGCGCCCTGAGCCAGCCCACCACCCCCGCAGCCGGCACCGACCTGGGCCTCCCTACACTCCGACCCCGTCCCCTCTCTTGCAGTTCATGGCCTCCCATGGGAACGAAGCTGCCAGGGCCACATTTGAGTCCAAAGTGCCGTCTTTCTACTACCGGCCCGCGTCCTCCGACTGCCAGTGAGTACAGGGAGCCTGGTGGGGTCGCTGTGAACAGCAGTGGGAGGACCAGGCCGGTGGGGACGCTGGCCTGGAAGGCCTGGGGAGGGCGGCTGGGGCCCTGGGATGCCGCCCGCCTCTGCTTCCTGCGCCCGTCTCTGGGTTCTGTGTGTGCCCCGTGGTAGATGCCAGAGGGATCTGGCCAACCCTGGGCCGCTGGGCTCCCCGGGGGCTCTGGTGACTCTTGGGGTTCTCCTGGGTGCCCCCGCTGGCCTGAGGGGAGGGGCGAGACTGCTGTCTGGCACGTGGGCCCCTGGCTCTGCAGAAGGTGTGACCTGGGTGCCCCTGCCTGGTGCCCTTGGCGTCCACAGCTTTCAGGGAGAGAGCGAGGGCCAGTTTGGACCCTGGAACTTGGACCACTCCCTGGGCCTCAGTGTCCCCATCTGTCCAGCCAGCGAGGATGTGACGTAGAACCAACAGCCGGCACAGCCCCGATGACACTGTGGCCTCCTCCTGCCCACAGAGGCCAAGGGGACGGTGGGGCCTCTGGGCTGCCTGGGTCCCCCCAGCTCTCTGGCTGGGTCACCTCCTTCTCCCCCCTGCCTTCCTGCACTCTCCCGACATTGGCCAGACTGCTCTTCCCCCTGGAACACGTCCCAGGCCCTTGGCCTGGCTCTGTGTGGCCCTGGGCCCTGGACCCTTCCTCCCTGGCTGGACAAAGTGCACCCTCCTTGGATTCTCCTGTCACCGTTCCCTGTGGCTGGAGCTCTTGGGTATCTGACTGCTGGGAGCCCGGCTCAGGCTTCTGGGAGCCCCGGACAGCTTGGGATGTCGGGTGAGGGTGCTGGGGCTCCAGCTGCCATGGGTCCCGCCTGTGTCAGGCACAGAACCAGGTGGGAACATGGCCCCCAGGCCACCTGGTCCTTCAATGGCCTGGGCTTCCTGGGGACCCTTCCCACATCCATGGCTGCTACTAGGGCCTGGCCGCCTCTTTTCCTGCTTCAGCTCCTGGCCAGCCTCCCACCCTGCCTGCCTTCCTGGGCTCTCTCTCCCCATTGCTCAATGGTTCCCTCCCTCTCCCAACCCATCCAAGCCTCCTCGCGGAGCCTGTCCCTGCCCCCCCCAGGTTTTCCCCACCAGGATACCCATGTCCCACTGTCTTCCCAAAGTGGGGTCCCTGGGATCGGCCAGAGCCCCTCTCCTGTTGGCCAGCATCCCCTGCTGCTTAGCCAAAGCACGGGCTCGAAGGCCCGTACAGCTGCTCACCCCAGCGCTCATGACATGGTGTTTCCAGGGCCCAGAGGGGTTGAGCACACTTCCCAGAGGACATGGGACCAGGGACCCCAGCCTGAAGTCCATACTCTGTGGCCAGGGGGCGCTTGGCAGGCAGGATCCTAGTCCTCGGCCCCTGAGTGGCTGGGCAAGTTACCTGACCTCCCCAACCTTTCCCTTTCTTGGAAACAGGGTGAGAACTGGACACCACTCCAGGTGTGGGTGGGGGCCACTCTCCAGGGCTCCAGCACCTCCTTCCCAGCTTCTGGCCACACCTGGGGCCTACCCAGTCCATGTGTGTTCAGTGCCGTTCCTTGATTGACTCACTTTGTGACCCCAAGCTCCTTGGGGCCCCACCTGTGGAACCTGGGCAGGTCCAGTACTGTGTCCATTGGGTACTGTGTCCTGCTTGATTCTGTGTCCACTGGGTACTGTATTCACTGGGTACTGTGTTCCTCTGGGTGTGTTACTGTGTTTGCTTGGTACTGTGTACTGCTAGGCACAGAACTGCATCCTGCTGAGTACTGTGTCCACTGGGTACTTGTCCCCCTGGGGGTAGTACTGTGTCCACTGACACCGCGTTAGAGCAAGACCCCACACGTCTGCCTCCAGGTCCCCGGGAAAACAGCCCAATCCACACAGAGCCTCCACGGATGCCACCCTGACGCTGACCTGGGCTCAGCCAGCCTGGGCTTCACCTGCTCTGTCCTTGCTCAGGAGTTGCTGGAGGCTGAGCTTCCGCTGGGGCCTTGATGGCTCCTCGGCTGGGATCCCTGGGGTCTGGCCCAGGAGGATGAGCTCCCTGAACAGGGCCGGCCAGTAAGGGGCTGTCTGGTCTGCAGGAAGCCTGGAGGGTGGGGCCTCCATGTAGGGAGGGGGCTGGCTGTGTCCCGTGACCTCGTTTGTTCCTTGCTGATGACGCTCACTGTGTGCCAGGCCCTGCCTGGCTCTTGGCAGGTGTCTTTGGGAAGCCTTTCTGGAGCCAGGAGGCTGGTCTAGCTGGCCCTGCTTCATGGGAGGGGAGGCTGAGACCCTGGCTTACACCTCACCTCTGTGTGCCCCCTTCCCCGGCTGCCCCCTCCCGAGCCCCTGGGCCAGCACCACCAGCTTTCCTGCCCCTGGGCCTCTCAGCAGCTCTCAGTATGAGTCAGGGTGCTGGCTGTATGGCTGTGCAGCTATTCTGGGGCACGATTTCGTCACCACTCTGCAGGCCACTCTGTGGCCCGGTTGTCTGCCTGAGGGCTCCCTGCACTTCCTGACCTGAGAGGGGCCACAGTGCACGCAGGGCAGGAGGACAGGGCCCTGGTAGCGTAAGCTGCAGGGTGCTGCGCAGCGGTCGGTCAGAGGCAGAGGGCAGTTGTACAGTGGAAACTGTAAACCACACAATGTTGGAGGCAGGGATGTTTGACCATAGAGAGCTGTAGGAGTGAGGGCGGGAGGGAGCTCTGTGACTGTCAGGTGACACGGGACTGTGGGGAGCTGGGGTGTGAGTGCTGTGTGTACTGTAGAGTGCTGAGGAGTGGCAGGCAAGTGTGGATGGCTGGCACTGCCAGGCAAGTGAACGAAGGCTCCAGGCTGCAGCCAGTGCTGGTGTCTCAGTGGCCAGGGAGGAGGCCGCTGGACCCCAGCGTGGGGAGCTTGTCAGAGCCAACGCCCAGGGCAAGCCTGCAGGGAGGGCCCTGGCAGGACGGCAGCCAAGGTAGCCCCCACTGCTGTGGCCCGTCCAGGGCAGGATGCACAGGGCAGCAGCTTTGGCAGTGTTGTGCTCGGTCACAGTGGGCTCGGTGAGAAGGGCACTGTGCTGGGCAGCAGGCCCCAGGTGGCCCATTCCCTGCCAGCCTGCAGGGGCTGGGGAGGTCACAGGGTACTCTCCTCTCTGTGCCCTGGAGCCCACAGCCCACCAGGCCTAGGTCAGAGGTACAGATCCACTGGTGTCTGGTGGCAACTTTGTGGATGACTCCTGCTCTTATATCCAGAGAGGAGCCAGTTCTGGGAAGCCCTGGTTCCAGCCCCTCTACTCTGCTTTCTAGGGTCCACAGAGCATGCTCCATGCAGGACTGGCACGGTGCCTGACTCCTGAGGCCTGTTTCCCCAGTTTCAGGAGGGAGAGAATGGAACCTGCTACAGGGCCGCCTTATGGGTGCTGTGGGATGGTCCTTCCTACCTTTCTGAAGCTCGGGAGGAGGGGTCACCCCATGTAACCCTTAGCAGCAGGAAGGCTGGGACTCTGCAGCACCAGCCCCAGGCTCTTCCTGCGTGACTCTCCCCCTGGGGTTCCTGTCTTCCCATGGGCAGAGAACTTCTCAGCACAGCTCTGCTAACGTGGCTTCTGGGTGGAGCTCGCCTGCTTCCTGTGGGGTGTGTCTGTGGGTGCCAGGCCCCTGTCCTGCCCCCCCCCCATAGGTGGGTGGGTGTCTTGTGGGACTGGACAGTGTCAGTACCAGCTTTCTGGGGCCACCATCCCGGAGCGCCACAAACTGAACTACAGAAATGAGCCCAGCAGGAGTTTCCCCCACAGCCCTGCCCAGTGAGCCTGGGTCAGGCTGGCCCCCTCCTGAGTCCTTGGCTCTCAGTGGCCGCCTCTGCTGTGTGTTCACGGCGTCGCCCCTCTGTGTCTCGCCCATTCTTTTCATTTGTGAGGACACTGGTCAAATAGGCCAACTGCATCTTAAGTCACCAAGTCTGCAATCCCCTGCTTCCCAGCAAGGCCACATTCTGAGGCCCTGGGGTTAGGGTGCCTGTTCAGCACTCAGGGTTGGAGGGCACACAGTCCAGACCATAGCAGCCCTGAGGTCCCCTGGGTGACAGGGCAGGAGTCCTGGGTTGGTCTTTTTGTTTTGGGGGGGTTTTTTTGCTACCAGGGATTGGTACTTTTTTTGGTACTTGGGACCCTGCGCTTGCGAGGCAGGCGGCGGAACCACTGAGCTAAATCCCTGGCCCGAGACCTGGGGTTTTGGAGTTGAAGCAGTGGAGATGGAGGCTGCATGGTGGTGCTTTCTCAAAGTGAAAGGGAAAAATAGATACCACCTGTGTGGGGTTCCCACAGAGTAGAAGGGTGTGCTGGCCCTGGGGTCACGAGCTGTTTTCTTTTTGTTTTCTCTCCCTTCTTCCCTTGCTTTTCTTTTTTTGCACTACTGAGAATTGAATGACAGCCTTTGCACTGAGCTACATCTCCAGCCCATTTTTATTTTTAATTTTGGTACTGGGGCTCAAACTCGGGTCTTTCCGCCTTCGAGGCAGGAGGCAGGTGTCAGGCGGCAGGCAGTGGAACCACTGAGCTAAATCCCCGGCCCCCAATTTTTTTTTTTGGTACCAGGGATCGAACTCAGGTCCTTGTGCTTGCGCAGCAGGCGGCAAAACCAGAACTAAATCCCCAGCCCTTTTATTTTTTATTTTGAGACAAGTTCTTGCTAAATTGCTCAGTTGCCCAAGCTGGGCTCAAACTTGCAATCCTCCTGCCTTAGCAGCCAGAGTGCTGGCGTAGGGCCACTTTCTTAAGAGTCAAAGCCTGACCTTCCTGCCTCCTTGGCAGGGTATTTGTGACAATGCCCTAAATCCAATGGCAGAATCCAGCAGAGGGGAGGGGAGCTGACGCTCATGAGGAAAGCAGAGCGCTGCCCCTTCCATAGGGCACAGAGGTTGAGGTGTGTGCAGGCCATGGGGACCACCAGGGCCACCCAGCAGGTATGGAGCCAGGTGGGGCCAGCCCTGGGCATGTGAGGAAGGGGCTCTGGAGGCTTCCTGGGTGCAGTGGTGGCAGGAGGACTCCAGGACGCAACTGACCTAAGGACATGATCTCAACAAGCACCTGCCCAGCCCTCTGTGCCCCGGCTCTTGAGGGGGGTGAGTCTGGCTGCCTGATTCTTAGGACATGGACAGACCCCAGGGAGTAGATGGGCAGGGGGCTTTGGGGCCTCCAGGCAGGTTTCTATTCCTGGCCCCTGTAGGCTGTGCCCACTTGGTCACCATCAGGCAGGGCGCTGGCTGTGGCGGTGTAAGAGGTGCCCATCAGCACAGCCTTCCTGATGCAGAGAGCCTCAGGGTCAGGGTAGGACCCAGGCTGAGGCAGGCCCCATGGCCACCTGACCATCTCAAGGTGGTGACGGGTGGTCCCGGAGACTCAGGGCAGCTGTGTGTGGACTCCACCCCTACGGCACGGGGCCCTGCAGCTCCGAGGGGACAGGTGTCTTATATCCGGGTTGCAGACAGGACCTGGGGCACAGGGGACCCGCAGGATCTGTGTTATTGAGCCTCACACTGTGCTGTGAAGTAGTGTCTGCAGTGTAATAACTGGGCCGAGGAGAGGTCGTCTGGGAATAGGATGGGTTCCCACCGACGGCTGGTGACTTTGTAAGAGAGGGGAGGGACACTGAGAGACACATGTGGCAGGGCGGGAGACATGATGTCTGCGGCAGAGAGAGCCCCGACAGTGGAGTGGCCACTGGCTTCCCCCGGAGTGCCTCCAGAGACCCGGCCTGACCCCTCTCCCAACTCAGCCTCCAGACAGGGCAGCTGCGTCTCTGTCCCCTCGAGCTTCCCATGGGAGGGATTTGTAGGGCCTTTATCCCCTGCCACAGAGGACCAGCCGAAGGACCCAGGGGTCCCCGCAAACCTGGATTGTGCCCCTGCTTTGCTGACCAGAAACAGAAAAGCCCTAGCTGAGGACCCTCACGCAGCCACAGGGGGTCTTTCCAGAGGCAGCCATGCTGTCCGTGATAACGGTGGTCTGACTTCAGGTGTGTCAACAGCAGCGAGGCCATGGTGGCCCTGGGGACAAAGCCTAGGGTGCAGTGTTCATCCAGTACTTCTTCCCGGGGCCCCATGGTTGGGGTGAGTTTGGCTGCCCTGTGTTCTGAGAGTTTCTGAGAGTTGTTGGGGTGAGTTGCAGGGCTGTGGCCCTGAGGCCACACAGTGGCTTCCCCGGGTGGGGCGCTAGGCCCAGCTTGGGAAGAGGAAGCCTAAGGTGGAAGCTGAGGCCCAGGATGGGCAGCAGGGTGGGGGAGGCAGATGCAGCTGGGGTCAGACGGTGGCACTGTCCCCAAGAACTACATGGGGGCGGTGGAGGGTCCTCACACCTGCCTGTGGGTCTGGACACTGGGACACAGCTCCTGGGGAGATGGTAGTTGGGGAAAGAGCCAGGGTGTCCCCGTAAGAGTGGCCAGAAGCTGTGTGCCTCCCCTGGGATAGGGGGCATGGGGATTGGGACCAGCCTGCCGACCCTTCCTCTCTCCCCAGGCTCCTGCGAGAGCAGTGGGTCCGTGCCAAGTATGAGCGGCAGGAGTTCATCCTCCCTGAGAAGCAGGAGCCCTACTCTGCAGGTGAGCCCGGGGCGCTGTCCCCACCCCTAGCAGAAGGGCCTTCTCTGTCAGCCCGGGAAACTGGCCCGTGGCCTGAGCCTGTGACTCCTGACACCCCTCATGGAGCTGAGTCCCCCTTCTTGTTGGTACCGGTGGCCCCAGGGCTGATGCCACCCTTGGCCAGGTGGGAGGACAAGGGGTCAGCACCGTGCTACAAGCGGAGTACAGCTGCCTCCCCGGGCCTGCTGGGTGCCCCTGGGGCCCCTGGGGTGTTGGAGCTTTTGCGGAGCTGTCGAGAGGACATCTCAGGGTGCAGAGCTGCCTGAGGGTCCTGGAGACCTGGCTCCCTCCTCAGCCTCAGTCTCCCCAGTGCGCAGTGGCCCCAGGCCTGTGCATTCCCTGCGTCTCATTAAGGTCCTGTGCTCCATGGACTCAGCCTGGCTGGGCTGGGGGGCTCCAGATATAGGGGCTCAAGCATCTCTTCCCCCCAGGGCTTGGGTGGCCTCACCATCCACGGTCACCAGGGGGCTCCTCTGCTGGCCTTCACTGCAGCCGCCTTGCCCAGTCCTCAGATCCCACTGCTTTCCCTGCTCCTGTGGACCCTCAGCCTGGGGCCTGCTGAGCCGGCCCCTGCCCCCCGCCACTTCCTTGCAGACCCAGGCTAAGTCCCCTGGGGCCAGACTGGAAGAGCCCTGGGTTAGGGGACCTCAGCACTGCCTCACCCCAGAGTGGCTCTCAGCTGAGATGTGTACAGGAACAAGCGCAAGCTTCAGAAGGGGAAACCAACACCAGGGGAGTGACAAGGCCTGGTTTTGAGCGTTGGTAAAGTCAGCACTGGTGGATTCAGGAAGATGGGACAGAGGAGCACATGCTGCCTGGGGCCTGTCCCCTCTGTGGGGAACCATCAGCCTGGCCTCTGGGCTGCTGGCCTCGGATGGCAACAACTGTGCCTGCTCCCCAGCATCTGCCTGAGAGATGCAGTGGGCCCCAAACCCTGGCACCACAATGTCAATGCCACCCAATGCCCATGGCCACCAAGGAGTGTCACTCAGCCAGTTGGAGGAGACAGGGCCGGGATAGATTGCAGCATTAATGCTGAGCCAGAGGAGCCAGATGTGGAAGGCCACTTGCTGTGGTTTTGTTTCCGTGAAGAGCCCAGGGCAAGTCATACTGAGGCTGGAAACAGATCAGTAGCTGTGGAAAGAGGAGACTCCAGGTCCCTTGTGGGTGATGAGGATGTTCTGGACTAGACAGAGGCACTGGCTGCACTACACTGGGGACATAGGATGAAGTCGCACAGAGCCACCCACCCTAAAATGATGTTTGGGGACAGGGATGTCCCACGTAGGCCAAGAGGACACAGAGCCCTTGCTGCCCCGGCACTGGGCTGGTCAGGGAGCTAGGCTCCTCGTGCCACCATCCTGGGGTCTCGCATCCACCTCCCTGGCTCCGAGAGACCATCAAGGCATCTGGGCAGGAGAGGCTGGGAGCAGGACCTGGGGATGTGTTCCGAGGCAAGACAGCAGCACCCCTCCATTCTGCCACACAGCTGACCCAAAGCCCAGGACAGTGGCCACATCTGTGAGGTGGTCCATGGTCTGGATCTCCTGGCAGTGGCCTGCTCATGGCGGTGGGCATCTGCCCTGCCCTCCTCCCTCAGGGTGGCTGGATGCTCTGCCTTGATTCAGTCACTGGCCACCCAGACGCGGATTCACACTCCCCATGGCCCTGCTGTGTGTGGACAAGAGAACTGGAAAGAGCACTCGGGGCCTGTGCACCCCTGACGCCCTGCCTGCACCCAGCCCACTTGCTCTGGGACCCCTGGGAATCACCTGCCTGGAGCCCCTCTGCCAATCCATAACCAGAGGGGATATAGGCCCAGTGTGGCGCACTGAGCCCGCTGGTCTGCAGGGGCGGAAAGTCAGCTGGCAGTGAGTAGAATAGAAATGGACTGGCTTGCAGAACTGAGTCTCACTTAGGCATGGCTTGATCAAGTGGTGGTGTTGGGACCTGGTTTCCGTCATCTCCACCTTCTAGTTCTGGTTCTCTGGTAATGCCACCCCTTGCAGGGGAAGCTTGGCTCCAGCAGGCCCAGATTCTACTCCTCTCTCATGCCAGCTGCAAGGACAGGGCACCAGGGTGCACAGAATGCCAAGAAAGGGTTGGCTGGGTGTGTAACCCTGTCGGTGTAATCCTGTATGTAACCCTGTGAATGGGGAGACGGGGTGCCATGGGTCATGTGCCTGCCCTGTACTGAGAAGGACAGGGTGTGGGTTCCAGAAGGGGCCCCCACTGGCTGGAGAACAGCATACTCTGTAGGTGTCCAAGGTCAGCCCAGGCCGAGGTTGCTCAGGGCTGGGCTCTTGGGTCAGCATGGGGCTCAGGGGGTGGTGGGGTGCTGACACCACAGTAAGCCTGGAGGTCACCTTCCCAGGCCCGGGTTTCCCCCTCAGAAATCCTCTGACCACTGGACATGGTGACACAGACCTGTAGTCTCAGCTACCAGAGAGTCTGGGGCCAGAGGATTGTGAGTTCCAGGCCAGCCTAAGAACCTAGGGAGACCTTGTCTCATAAGAAAAGTAAGGGAGCTGTGGTGTGGCTTAGTGGGGGAGAGTGTGTAGGTTCAAGTTCAGAGACCCCCGGGCACACATTAGCAGGGCTGGAGCTAAGCGCTGGGTGGTGGTCACCATGGACCGATAGGCAGTGTGGTCTTGGCCCAGGTAGGATGTGCCTGGGGGGCCACCTGCCCACAGCACCCTGTCTCAGCATGCAGCGTGAACAGGCATGTGCGCCCCTCATGGCTAACACAGGTGGCGAAGGCTGCTCAGGTGTCCCCTTCCCAAACGCAGAGCAGAATGAGGCTGCGGGATGCACAGGGGAGGGGCCGTGCCTGTGGTGCCCTCAAGACCGCGTGTGCTCTGACTCCACAGGGGTCACGAGGGGTGGCGAGCTGGAGTGAGACCTCCCTGTCCCTCCATGGCCCTGCTGTCGCAGCTGGCCACCTCTCCGTCCTGGGGGCCTGAGTCAGCATGGGGTGGGGGCCCGGGCTGGCACCAAGGAGCCTTCATCCCTTCCCTTGCCTCCTCCTCATCCCGGGGCCTCTACAAGCCAGGGCCGCACATCAGGTCACCAGTCAGGTCCCCTGAGGGAAGACCTGGCCCCACCTCTGCTCCCACTGGAGGGGGGTGGTTGCTGGGCCTGGAAGGCGTCTGCACAGAGGGGCCTACAGACCCCACACAGCAGCCTTCAGGGAAACTTTTGGGTCCCTTTTCTCTTCAACCCAGCCCCACACACTGTGCTTCCCAGCCATGCCCCGGACTTGCGGAGCAGTCTTGGGTGTGCTTGGGCTCGGCTCCACCCAGGCCTTCGTTACACCTCCCTTAGACGTGTCACTCTCCCCACCCCGGGGACCTGGAGCTCCTGGCCCTGTGCCCACCCACTGCCCCGTGCACCCTTGTGGTAGCCCCTCGGAGTGACAGGACCTGGGGGGAGGCTGGACTCAGGGTAGTCAGGTGCCCAGTGATCTTCCCTGCATGGGGGACAGTGGCCTGCAAGACCCTCCCTGCCTGATTCCCAGGAGCAGAGCCAGGGCAGGGGCCCACAGGTGTCTCTCCCTGACCTGCAACCACCCAGCTGGCTCGGTTCCCCTGTGCCTAGACCCCAACCCTACAGGCCCTGGTGGATGCATCAGCTGGTGCACTCCCCCTTACCGGAGCAGGCTCCCACCAGGGGCGTGGGGTCGAGGACTTGGCCCTGGGGAATCCCGTGGTGGCTGCCCTGTGTTTGCCACAGAGCACTTTCTCACATAGTGTGGTGATGCCCCACCCTGCCTGCTGCTGTGAAAAGCAGAAGTCCTGTGTGGAGAAGGAGGAAGTGCAGGGTTAGGAAAGGCACCTCCAAAGGAAGTGAGGCTCAGGACTGTAGGAGGCAGGTCCTCAGGCCTGGCCTGGAATGAGCCAGAACCTGGGGCTGCAGGGTCAGGAGGTCCACACGCTGCGCTGGGATTAAGGCGGGGGGGGGGGTTGCTGTGTCACCTGCTTGGCAACCTTGACCAGCAGAGCAGTGGCTGGGACTCCCATGTCAGGGCTCAGGAGACCAGGAGCTCCTGGTGGCTGAAGCCGGAGTGATTTGAGGATTCATAACCTGTGAGGATAAGTATCTCATGTTTGCACCCACACGAGAGCAGACTCAACGGGAAAATAGGGACAGCTGCTCCTTCCAGAGGTTTCCAGAGCTAAGTGCTGAAGAACAAGGGAGCAGAAGATCACCAAGGCAGAGGGCAGTGCATGTGCACAGGCTGGCGGCAGATGGGCACTTGGCCTTGGAGGAGCAGCCGCCGGCCTGGCCCAGAGCGACTTTCCCAAGAGGCTGCTGGCGACATCAGGTTGGAGGAGTCCCAGGATGTCCCTCACCGTGTGTCAGCAAAATGGGCACCTGGCCCGGCACAGGGAGAAGCACACTGCTGCAGAGTTCTTGCCAGAAATGCAGGCCCTCACCTCCCCCATGGAGCAGCGCTGACCCAGTGACAGACTCACCCACTGGCCTGCAACCAGGTCACAGAACCCAGGTCATGAGAGAGACACCGGGGGGGGGGGGGTGAACTCTCAGGAGAGGGGCAAGTCATGCGGCCCGTTATCTTCTGTCAGGGAGCCCCAGCTTCCGTCTCGCTGTGGTCTTGGACCTCGTGGGGACAGTGTCATGCAGTCACCCACTGCAGCTCACCCCCTTAAGTGTCCAGCATGCTGAGCAGTGCTGACTTCACAGCCCAGAGGAGATCCTGAGCTGGCCAAGATGTCCATGCTCTGTCCCCACAGATGGCCACCCTGGACGGTTTATGATGGAGGCAGGCGACAGAAGCCTCTGCTTCTAGCCTCCATCGTGGAGGAGGATGTTTGTCCATACTATAGCATGTGCTATTTTTGCAACTCTCCTTCAAGTCTAAAATTAGCCCAAAAGAAGATCAAACAGGACTGTCTGGTGCCGGAGGGAGATGCCAGATGGTGGGGTCCCACCATACTAGTTGCCACCGACTTTGTATCCTTGTACCTTGCCCTGCTGGTCCCCACTGGACCTCTCCTCCCACCGGAGCCCCATGGAGCTGGATGTCCCCATGGCCTGTAGCCACCTGCACTCTGGGGGTATCAGGCTGTTGTCCCCACCGTCGGGACAAGGAGCTGGGCAGGCCTGGAGCCTGAGCACACCATGCCCCCAGATGGGGCTTGGATGGTCTCTTTCTAGGGAAGCCAGTGCCATCCAGGGGTCAGCAAGGAGAGGGGCCCTGGGGCAGGGGTCAGGCAGCCATTAGTCACCTATGGAGTCTCACACTCTGCCAGCCACGGGGCTGCTGGGAACGAGACCTCTGCCCCCAGGGCACTGGGGAGGGACTGTGCCCCCGGAATGGGCTGCCCTTTCCTGGCCTGGACTGAGAGAACAGTTGATGGGTGGCTCCAAGGGTGCGCTGGACCCTGTGGTAGGTCTGGGGGCTCTGAAGCCCAAAAGGTTTCTATCCCCAAGCAATCTGCAGACCTGGCAGCCTAGCGGCACCATGCCCACACTGGTTCCTAGACATCCCAGGCCAAGGTCATGGTTCTGTGGGAGGCACACAATGCGGCCGCCAGCAGTAGGAGATGTAGTTGTGCAGTGGAGTCCTCGCCTGTCCCTCCCAGGCCCTGCTTTCTGGGGTGACCCTGTGACAGGGGCCTGCTCCCTCTCCAGGCCTCCTTGCCTCTGCTGGGCCTCAATGGTGGCCTTTCATGGGCCAGACAATGCCCGCGCTGTCAGGAGACAGGCACAGCTTCCTGCCAGCAGTTTAGCCAGGTCCTTGGGGTGCCCCCTCCCAGCCCCCTCTCCCTCTTCTTGGCTGACCATGCCCCCTCTCCAGCTGTCTGGTTGTGCCAGGCAGGGATGTCCCAAGGTGGCCACCTCCTCCCACCTTAGTCCTGCAGTCCCAGGGCAAACAGGACCATAGGGTGGGGGTGTGGCTTCCGGGGTGAGGGACAGGACCCTGCCCTGGCTTGTTTCCCCAGCCATGTGGGAGGGGGCAGCTGCAGCCAGGCAGCCTGGAGGTGGTTCCCACTCCCATCCCACTGTCCCTGAGCACTGGGGAGGGGTGGGCAGTGACCAGGGAGCCTGGGATATTCTGCCCTTGGGCCTGTGAGGTGCTGAAGTTAAAATGTGGGGCTGTGTCCAAGCTGAGCTGGCACTGTAGACACGTGCAGGGTCTTGCTGGCCTAGAGGGACATCCAGGCCCGTACAGTCCTCCTCTTGGCTCTGTCCAGTAGCAGAGACCTGAGGTCCAGGCAGGGCCAGAGCCAGGACACAGTAGCAGTGGGCGCTGCGGGCTGGCTGGTGAGCCCCTGGCTCCGAAACCACTGTGCGACTGCAGAGCCAGGCAGTCTGAGGCCCTGGCTCGGTGGGAACCACATGCTAAGGAGACCTCTGAATCTACAGCCAGCTCAGGAGACAGCCTGCCATGAAGCTTCAGCCCTTCTGCCATCCACAGGCCCCTCTTCTTCTTGGAACTTAATTTGCCCTTCGAGATCCCATGAGGCCAGTGGCGTGGGCTCTCCATCCTCTGAAGGGCATGGGTGCCTGGTTTTAGGGTCCTCTGGGGACACGGAAGGGGCCCAGAGGCCCTGCCTCAGGCAGCAGGGATGGAGCCTGGGCAGCTGGGCAATGTCAGGGAGGGGCAGAGCCCAGCAGCCTCACAGACTGGGCCTGTGGCTCCGAGAGCCCCTGAGCCATGGCTTGCGTTCTGGGTTGATCTGGGGTCAGGCAGCAGTGGCGGGAAGCCAGAAGCCAGGTTAGGGGGATGGGGCCTCCGCAGGCCACCATGCCCACTCTCCATGGGGGCCCCTCACCCACCCTGCAGGGACCCCCGAGGGGCCCTGGGCACAGGAGGCCACATTGGCTCTCACCAGACGCCTAGCCTCACTGTTGCCCTCGCAGCCAGGCTGTGCGGTTCCCTGCCTTGGTTCCTAAGATATAATGTGCACTTTATATACATGCGGCATGATCTACATATGCTTTGCATATCCTATTTAGAGTGCAGCTCTGGGAGCTGAGACAAACGAAGACAGAACCCTAACATTTCCCACAAGCCCTGCAGGGCACTCGCCACTGGGATCCTGCCTGCAGCTCCCAGGCCAGCTCCTCTCTCTAAGCCCGCAGGTTGGGCTGCAGGGTGGTCTCCATGGCATAGGGGTGCTGCTTGGTATCTGTTTCCCAGCCAAGGGACATGAGGTCATTTCCATTTTGTGTGGATCAAGAGTGAAGTCACTGGGAACACTAGTATGCAGCCACTGTGAGCACGGTCTTCCCTGGATTTTTACCAATAAGCTTGTGTTTGTGTAACAAACCAGCAGTCTGAGCCTGGCATGGTGGTGCAGGCTAGTAATCTCAGCGCCCAGGAGGCTGAGGCAGGAGGATCTTGAGTTTGAACCCAGCCAGGGCAACTTAGACACTTAGTGAGACCCTGTCTCAAAATAAAAAAGGCTGAGGATATAGCTCAGTGTGAAGGTCTTGGGTTCAATCTTCAGTACTGCCGAAAACAAAAGAAACCATGAGCCTCCCTTCAAGGAGCCTGCTGTTCCATCCCCGCAGCCCTGCAGGACGGCTATGCAGGGTGGCTGAGCCTGGTGTGGCTGCTGTCCCAGCACTGGGAGGTGCTTTGTTAGACTGATGCTGGGGAATCGTGGGGCTGTTCCCGTCTCCTGAGGAGCAGCCCTTTGTGGTGTGGACCCCACTCCCTAGAAGGTAGTCCTGGGTCCAGCACACGGAAGGGGTCCATTCCCTGCTAAGAGAACTGTTCAGCCTCTGCCCTGGGCCAGCCAGGTGTTGGAGTAGGGGAGTGAGGGTCCGAGTGAGGCCCTGCCCTACTTGCTGTGCCCTTCAGCTCTGAATCAGCCACACTCTCTGTCACCAAAGAGCCAGAGGCTCTGAGAGGTTTGGACACCAAGGCGGGGAGCAGCCAGAGACCCTGGCCAGCACCTTCCAAAAATACCACTGGAGTTGCTGTCACAGTGCTGAATTGAGGCTGTCAGCGGCTGGCTGGCGCCCTCTGTCCTGTGGCCTTGAGCCATGTCTGGACCGTGAGGGTCCCAGAGTCCTGCGCATGGAGCCCCTTGGGGGTGGCAGGGGACAGAGGCAGCCTGCACCCAGGCCCTGCCCTGCACCTGCTTGCTCCCTGAGGTGCTGCTGCCATCTGCTGGGCACTATGGGTGTAGCAGGGCCAAGGGCTGGCATTTACCAGGCTTGATTGCCGGCCTGGTGGGCTGGGGCTGCGGAGGGAGGCATGGACTGGTTCCTCTGGTCTGTGCCCTCAGTTTCTTTATCCACAGAGCGGGTCATTTACAACAGGATGTGCCTCGGGGGTTCTGGTCATGAGGTGGTGTGTGTCAAGTGTCTCACAGGCCCTGCCATCTGTGTGACCATTAGGGGTAACTGAGGACATTGTTATCCCCAAACTCCTTAGTGTCAACACATAGCCAGGCAAGCACTGTCCCGAAGTGGCTGGGTCCTGACACTGAAGGAACCAACTGGGCTTCTCAGCCCTGCCTGAGCTAGGTGCTCATTTAGTCAGTCAGCAAACATTCTCATTTGGCCCAACTTGGACTTCAGGACATTTTTGGTGGCTGGGGGGAGGAGGGATACAGGAGCATGTTAGCCTGTCCACAGGCTTCGGAGGTGCCAGGGCCCTTGAGTCATAGGGACAGGCTGTGTCTGGCTATGTTCTGAGATGGGGCAAGGGCTGTCCCCCAGGGTGTCAGCTGCTCCCTCCTGACACCAGGCTGCCACCTCCTTATGGCTGTGTGTATCAGACAGCAGAGAGAACTGCCTGGCCTCTGGTGTCAGGGCCCAGTGGCGCCTGGAACGTGGCTCTGTGTCTGCTAGGCAGTGATGGTGCTGCAGGGCCCCCCTCAGGGCCAAGGTCTCCCCACATCACTCAGTGACACCTTGTGGGCGGTGACACCCCAGGACACATGGCAGTGGAGGGAGGCGGGAAGGCCTCAGTCCAGGATCCAGCAGTAGACAGGAGGGAGACACAGGGACAGCCCTGGAGGACCCTTCCCATCACACACAGGGCCACGGGGTGTGGGAGGAGCAGCCCTGGAATGGGCAGAGCCTGGGGACACCACGGGTGGCAGGAGACTGAAGGGGGGTGGTCCCTCTGTTCTCCCTCCTTGTGTGACCTGGGCCACCTGCTGTCCCTCCTCCCCGTGTCTGCAGAGCCTCCTGCTGTCCAGTGGAAGGGGGCGGCTGGCCTGGCACCCATGGGAGGTCACAGCAGCAGAATGGCCCTGTGCTGTCCCTCCCTGTCCCCTGCTCAGGCTGGGTCTGGCCAGGGCCTGAACCCCCTGTCCCTCTGATGCCATGTCCACTCTCTCTCTCAGGGTACCGCGAGGGCCTTCTCTGGAAGCGAGGCCGGGACAACGGGCAGTTTTTAAGCCGAAAGTTTGTGCTGACGGAGCGAGAAGGGGCCCTGAAGTATTTCAACAAAAATGACGTGAGCCAGGCGCAGGCGAGGGTGGGGCGTCCTAAGGTGTCCCTCGCCTCCACCCAGTGCCTCTGGGTGTCGGTCCCTGGATGGGAGCCACCCCTGGGGACACCCTGCTCTGGAGGGGCCACCCACATGCACATAGTGGGCCACCCACTGCCCACCTCTTGGATCAGGTGATGCTGGGGACACGGTGGGCAGTCTCTCCCTGGCGAGGATGCCCAGGCCCAGGGTAGGCGGAGGACAACAGCTCAGTTGGCCATCTCCCCACCCAGCACACACACACTGAGGGGCCCTGGCCCAGCCACTCACCCAGGCTGCTTGCTTCAGGCCCCAGCACAGGGTAGCGGCAGACATGGTGACCTTGGGTGGCCTGGTCAGGTGCGCAGACATGAGCCCTGCTCTGCCACACCTGCCCCGAGAAGTGGCATACCAGCTGTCCTGTGTCTGGATTGCCAGGCCCCTGGGTCACCCAGCCTGTCCTCAGCAGGACTTGTGTCAATGCCCTTGCTCTCGACCCTTGGTGCAAGGGGCCACCCCCTAGGGTCAGAAGCTCTGGCTGGAGACCCTGGGTCCTGGCCCCCGTCATCCATTCTTCCAGGGTCCATCAAGAGCACCCTGGGTCCCAGGGACATGCTGGGTGATGGACAGGGCCTCACTCCTCACGCTCCCACGCCAGCCTTTGTAGCGGGTGTGCTGCTGGCATCTGTGCCCTCATTAGGGCTGGGGTGGTCAGGCAGCACCCTGACTTCAGGCCTAGCAGAGCGGAGGGGGTGGAAGGACCCTGGTCACATGGCCCCTGGAGCAGCAGGACCCCTGAAGGACCTCACTTGCCTGGGGCAGTGGTCTGGGACAGGGAGACTGCACTGGCTGCACAGCAGGATCTCTGTGAGGCAGGGCTGTGTGACCATGGGTCTCTGGGCCTGGCTCCTCGTCCCTCTTGGACCTCAGGGCCACACCACAAATAGCCAGAGAGCCCTGGCTAGGGCTCTGTAGAGGGAGGGCAGAGGGCACGCGAGGGGAAAGAGCCCAGAGATGGAGGCCACCCACGGGGCCATTTAGGCTCCTCAACCCCAGTGAGGGCGGGCTGTTTCCTTTGCTTATGGGGAACGGGCTTGGGGAGGTTCAGTAACTCGCCTGGTCCATGCCACTCCAGAGGCTGCCTGCAGCCACAGTGCCCATTCTGCCCTCAGCTGGACAGCGGCCCCTGGTCTGGGCTCAGAATTATCCTATTTTTCAGGCCAAGGAGCCCAAGGCCATCATGAAGATCGAGCACCTGAATGCAACCTTCCAGCCAGCTAAGATCGGCCACCCCCATGGCCTGCAGGTCACCTACCTGAAGGACAATAGCACCCGCAACATCTTTGTCTACCACGAGGATGGGAAGGTGGGCGCGGGTGCAGGGCCGGCCTGGTGGGTCCCAGCCCCACGGGCCCTGCCTCTCGGCCGCCCACCAGCATCTCTGGGGCGCAGGAGGGGACCCCGAAGATGATGGGCCCGTCCTGTCCTGGGCTCCTTGGCCCAGGGGCCCGTCTGTTTTCACCAGAAGCATATGGGGCTGGGGTGTTCTGTAAGGCTGGGAAGCTGGGTCTGGCTGTACCCGTCTGCTGCTCCAATCCTGCAGAGGCTGCAGTGTCAGAGCCACGCTTGGACAGCAGCCGTGTGTGTCAGTTTGCAGCACCTGCCCGTGCCACCCAGCAGGGCTGGGCCTGTGCATTCACAATGGACGTGACTGACTGTGGCCGCTTTCCCTTCCCATGTGCACGCTTGTTTCCAGGGTCACTGTTGTGTCCCTGTGTGGACACTGCGTGTCCTGTCGTGGGGCTGGCCTTCCAGGGCCCAGGCAAGGCTGACAGTCCACCACAGCATGGACTCCACTTGGTTGGGGTGGTTCTCCCTCCCATGCCCTGCATGGCTTAGTCAGGTCTACCCTGGTGGCCTTGGGTAGATGAGCTCAGGAGCATCTCCCTTATCACGTGCTGCTTTTCTCCTCAGTCCTGTCAGTCAGACATCGGTGCTCTTAGTTCTTACACTCATCTGCCTTCTGTTCTCCAGTTTCTCTCCCTTCACTACCTGGGAAATTCCTTCAAGTTTGTCTTCTGATTGTTCTGCTCTCACAGCTTTCACTTTGTTTTGAGATAGGGTCTCACTATGCAGTTCAGGCTGGCCTTGAACTTGCAATCCTCCTGCCTCAGCCTCCTGAGTGCTGGGATCACAGGTGTGTACCACCACGCCTGGCTCTAACTTTTACCTTTGCAGAGTCCTTTCAGTGCCCAGGCAGTTCCTGTTTCAGAGCTGTTGTTGTTTCATGATGATTGTTCCTCCTCGAGGCCTTCTTATCCCTGAAAAGCATCTTAGTTTCTTAGCTGCTGGTTCCATTTGTGTGGCCTGCTGTCTTCTCTGTGGGCCATCTCCCTGCAGTCCTGGGGCCTGGGGCCTGGGGCCTGGTCCCTTCCTCTCAGGGCAGCTGTGGCTCCCTCCTGTGCTGTGGCTGGGAGAGCTTATTGATGTGGTGTGCTATGGAGGCCGCGGTGGGCGGGGATGTTAGGAGACACCCAGGTAAGGCAGCCAGGTGCAGGCACCCAAGGGAAAGGTGGGAGGCAGCATCCAGGGTGAGGAAAGCACCTGTGCAAAGGCCTGGAGGCAGGGGTGGCCTGCCTCCCTCACAGGGTGGCACAGAGCTGGGGCTGAGGGGTCAGGGCCTGGTTTGAACTCCAGAATAAGGGGCACTGGGTGAGCTCGGGCTGGGGCAGTGGTGCACGTAGGATCTGTGCTGCTCCAGGCCACCTGGCCTGTGCAGCCAGAGCACATTGGGGCCTGGCAGGAAGGGGCCAGAGAGGGCTGTGTCCTTTAGGCGGGGAAGCCATGAGATGTCGCTGAAGCCAGGTGGGGGTGACAGGCAGTAAGAGGCCAGTGTGTGAGTCTGAAGCACAGGGGAGGTGGTGGCAGGGACCCTAGGGAAGGATCAGGGAGGCAGCCCAGGTGCTGATGATGGCCGGGTGCGCCTGGCATTTGGCTTTTGCTAGACAGCAGGGTGGGTGCTGGGAGACAGGGTTGAAAGGCCAGGGCAGGGGAGCAGTGGGCAGCCTGGAGTAGGGCAGGGCTTACTCCACAGGGACCAGGGGGTCCAGGTTGTGACCTGGCCAGGAACAGCTGGCCAAGGAGGTGCAGCCCCAGATGGGCACTGGGTCTGGGAGGGGATAGCCCGGGCTGGTGCCAGGGCAACCTGTGCCCACTGCAGTGACCCTGTCCCCTACCCAATCTTGTCTGGGGCCATCTCGCTATCTGGGCAGCCCTCACCCTGCATGGGCACAGGTTGTCTGGAGGGACAGCAAAGCCCACAGCTCACAGGCCCTTCCATCCCCAGGAGATGGTGGACTGGTTCAATGCGCTACGGGCTGCCCGCTTCCACTACCTGCAGGTGGCCTTTCCGGGGGCCAGCGACGTGGACGTGAGTGGCTGCCCTGCCCTGAGGTCTCGGGGGTGTGGGGTGAACATCTCAGCCCTTGTGCCCCCCAGGCTGGGTTGGGGTGACCATGGGCACGTGGCCCCAGCTGCCCCGAGTGACCAGTCACCCTCAGTGCAGTGGACAGAAAGGGTGGGCAGCAGGGTGAGGGAGGAAGGCAGGTGGCCATGCCGGGTGTGGGATAGAGCATGGCGGTGGCTGGGTGTCCCTGAGCCTGGGGGGCTGAGCCCAGCTTCCAAGGGGACAAACCAGATGCCCCCACCCTGTCTGACCACTTGGTCCCCCCAGCTGGTGCCGAAGCTATCCCGAAACTACCTAAAGGAAGGCTACATGGAGAAGACAGGGCCCAAGGTGGGTCTGCAGGGGTGGGTGGCTGCCCAGGCTACATCCAGATCCACCGTCTTCCTGCTTGTTCAGGGGTGGGGCTGCAGGCCACAGCTGGGTCGGGGCAAGGTGTAGGGCACAGTGAGGCATGGGGTGGAGCACCAGCGCCCTCCCAAGTCCCATACTGAAGGGCCAAGCTCTGAGTAGGGTCCCCAGGGCTGCCTGGCCGACAGGGACCACAGCTCTGGCTGCCCTTCCCCACAGGGACCCTCTTGGTCCATGGCCAGGATGGGTGCTCCCAGGGAGGTGCAGGTGTGGGACCTATGCAGCTGGGTGGTTGGCAGAGCATGCCCCAGCGAGGGCCAAGGAGGAAGTGAACAAGTGAGCCAAGGCTCTGCCCTCCTAGTGAGCTGTGGCCAGTGGGACAGGGCTACCTCACCAGGCCAGCTGGTCACCTGCCCTCCACGACCACAGCAAACAGAAGGCTTCCGGAAGCGCTGGTTCACCATGGATGACCGCAGGCTCATGTACTTCAAAGACCCCCTGGTAAGGAGGGTCTGCCCGCTGCCCCTGCGCGGGGTGGTGCAGCCGGCAGGTCTTGCTGCTGAGGGGGAGGCTCATCTCCCAGGGTCCTGGCCCCAGGCTGCACCCACCTGAGGACAGACAGTGGGGCATGGAGAGGCAGCCCTAGAGACCTGCCGAGTCCCTCCCTAGCCCCATGGGGTCCAGGGACAGGAGGCACCCACCCCCAGCTCCAGCCTGGCCCCTGCAGGATGCCTTCGCCCGAGGGGAGGTCTTCATTGGCAGCAAGGAGAGCGGCTACACGGTGCTGGAAGGGCTCCCACCATCCACCCAGGGGTACCACTGGCCGCACGGCATCACTATTGTCACACCCGAGCGCAAGTTCCTGTTCACCTGTGAGACGGAGGCAGGCCGGAGGGAGTGGGTGGAGGCCTTCCAGAAGGTGGTGGGCAGGCCCATGCTACCCCAGGAGTACGCAGGTGAGGGCAGGCACAGGGGGGCGGGGACTGCACCCTGCGGCCAGTCTCCTGTGCTGGATGGGGCGAGGTGGGTGCCCTGGGAAAGCCTGGGAAAGGGGCCACCCTGAAGTGGGTGGACACCTGTCTCCGTCTGCAGTGGAAGCCCACTTCAAGCATAAGCCCTAGCAAGACGTCTGAGGCCCGAGGACCCTGGACTCATGGGACTGGCTGTCAAGGAGGTGGCCAGTGGCCCCAGCCAGCCCTGCTCCTTGGAGCAGCAAAGCATGGCCAGGTAGGGCCTGAGCTTCGGCCGCTAGGACGTGAGTCTGGAACCTCATTGAAGGCGACCCCAGCCCCGTCAACACTGCAGCTGACCACACCTGGCTGACCCACACCCCTCCCTGCCCAGCCCCCAGCCAGGGCAGCCCCACTAACTCCGTGCTCCCAGCCCAGCCAGAGGTTACATGAGGCCTCGGGAACAGACTCAGCTGGGCTGCTGAGGACGAGGGTCTGCCGCATGCCTCCCTTCCCCTTCCCACCTCAACAAGTATTTATTGAGGGCCTGCTGCGTGTTGGTTACGGGTCCTCTGGGGAATGTGTGCACACAGGCCCTGCCAGCTGGAGTCCCAGTGCTCCTGGGCACCTGGCCTGGGGCGGGAGGGCCTGTGCTTGGGCACTGGGTGCCCTGCTCAGTGCTCGGCCTGGCCAGTGACCCATGCCCACCAGCCCTGGCCTTGCGATCTTTGAGCCCCTGGGGCGGGGTGCCCCTGCAGTCCAGCTCCCCCAGCTGGGCCCTGCTTGCTGCTGGCAGGCCAGTAGTTAAAGCCACCCTGTATTTATTTCTCACCTGATCTCTTTCTGTGCTGCATCCTGGTCACCCAGGATAGCCAGGGTGGAGCGTGCAGTGGGGACACGCCTGCCCACGGGAGCTGGGGGAAGTCTCCTGAGCTGGTGTTCTGCACCCACGTCGTGTCCTGGAATAAACTGTGGCTCTGGCATGGACCCTTCTGTGTGTAGGTGGGAGAGGGGCCAAGCTGGCAGCTTCCACTGGGTAGAGCGGGACAGACTGCCAAGGCAGGCCCAAGATGGACCCCAGAGCCCCCCATGTCCATGTTCCCTGGGTCTGAGTTGGGCGGCCCCTGCCCATCATGCAGGAGCACTCCCAGGGCATACCTATACCCGAGCCAGCTTGGGGCCCACACTGCTCCTAGCTATTTCAGGGGCTATGGCGGGGCCCTGGGGTGCCCCTTTCCTGGCAAGCCCTCCAAACCCTCCAGCCTTGGGGTCTCTGGCAAGGTCTACAGCTCTGGGTTCTGAAGGTAGGGGCACAGCTGGCCCTACAGCTGTTTCTGAGTGAGGAAATGGCCTGGGGAGGAGAGGCCGCCCAACCCCGCCTGGAGTCCCCGAAGTGGCTGTGCTAGTGACAACATCAGCAGATTCCCCCACCCACCCCCACAGCGGCTGGGGTTCACCTGGGGCAGTGCTCACCAAGCTGACTGGCTGCAGCTTCTGCAGATGCCGGGCTGGGTTCTCGGATGCAGAGCCCCAAGGTCAGAAACCAGACCTGAGCCCTGTCTACACCACCACAGGGCCAGCCCAGGCGCCTCCACTGTGGACATGCGGTACGCAGGCAGTGTCTGAGCACGTGTGTTCATGTGTGCATACACATACATCGCCCTGTGCATGGCTGGCTGTATGTACAGGAACCGATGTGTTCTACCAAAGACACTGGCAACGTTTTTAAAAGAAGCCACAGGGCCGGGGATTTAGCTCAGTGGTTTTGCCGCCTGCTGCGCAAGCGCAAGGACCCAAGTTCGATCCCCGGTACCAAAAAAAAAAAAAAAAAAAAGCCACAGCACATGTCGGTAATTGCTGGAGATGAACTGTTCAGAGGCGGCTAGAAACCACAGCCCCTGGAATGGCGTCACTGGTTCCTGGGCACTGGCCCTCGGCAGGTGATGCAGCACTGCAGTCTGGACAAGGGGCCTAAGTATGGTGCCGTCTCCCTGCCACATGGTCACAAGCACACCAATGCCACAATAAACTTGGCGCTTTACTTGGATGCCTCCTGAGGTTTGTGGGATGAGAGCTCACCTGGAGAGGCGGCACAGGCAGGTGTGCTCCCACTGAGCTCTGGCTTTTCTGTGATCACCTAGGGTCAATCCTATGTATGCATGCAAACAAAATTTGAATTCTGGTTACATTGATCCCCAATACATCAACTGTGGGATCTAGTTCATGGATTCAAAACCAACACCTCAGCAGAATGGGGTGCTCCAGCCTGGGCCCGGGGGACCCCATCTGGCTCCTTCCACGGCTGTTCCTCCGCTGTCCCAGTCTCCCTCAGGGCTGCCCTCTAACACTGCTCCCAGGGGAGTCCAGTGTGGCCTGCACCCTACAGGCCTGCTCTCTGGGGCTGTGACATACATTACCTGGCGGGTTTGATTTCAATAAAATTTCAGGTTTATTTCTAAAATCACAGCCAAGTGATTTCTGCCACCTTCCCGACACTGGCACATCGTCTATGCATGTGCAACCTGACAGACCCAAGCAAACAGCTCAGCACACAGGCTCAGCCACACCCAGCACTGAGGCTGTAGGCCTCCCCGGGGCAGGGCAGGGCTGGGCACAGAGAGGCCCCACTGCCACCCCCACCCACCTGGGCCAATAGCTGGCCCACGCCAGCCCCAGCTCACCAGAAAGGACCAGCGCTGCACAGGCCAGTACAAAGGATTTATTTATACTCAACATTGACACAAGCCTCCCTTTAAATTCCATTTTTACAGTAAATAACGTATATTTCCCTCCTTCCCATGCATGGTCACTGTGTATTAATCTACAACTCTTATTTTAATTGTGAAAAAATAAAGTGTTGCCCTTTATAATTATACTGGTAACGTGGAATATTATCAGTGATAAAGGACAGATTTGCTCATTCCTGGTTATTTGGTTAACACCTAAAACATTAGGTTAGAGAAACCCATCACCCAATAAAAATAAATACTGCATCACGAAGGGCACGTTCTGCAGCGCCCCTTTCTATAATGACACTTTAGGACTGGCAGCATGGTACCCAGAGGCCAGCAGGGCTGTGGCTCCAGACTTATGCAGAGCAGCCTCCCTTACCAGCCACATGGGGCAGCGCAGGGCCCACGGCCTGGAGGACCAGCAGGTGGAGGGATGATCCCACAGTTCACGAATTCCACTGGGGACAGGGACACCATGACTACAAAATAACCCCATGTTCGAAACAAAAATATAAACAAGAAACCCGCTCTCACTCCTGGGCTCGCAGGAGGCCCAGCTCGGTCCACATATCTGGTGGCCACTGCCTCCTGGCCCACACCATGGGCGGTGCTGGACAACAGGTCACCGGCCCCCAGCCCTCCCCAAGGAACCAGAGACAAGGATGGCAGAGGGAGGCGCAGCAGGGCCTGTGCTTTATTGTGGATCGAGCTGAGGGGACACAGTTGGCTGCAGGAGCCAAGGCCTTGTGTTGTGTCCCAGCCACACAGTGTCAGGCCACCACGCAGCCCTCCACCACCTTCCATAAATAGGGACAGATACTGCAGGGCAGCCCCGACAGCTACAGCCCAGGAGCCGCCAGGTATGAGTAGCCTTGTTCTGGGCCTTGAACCTGAGGCCATCTGGGCAGCGCTGACTGGGCGTCTCCACTTGGGCTGGCAGCTCAGTCCAGCTCGATGGGGCTGCTGTCGTCTTGGCTCTCCTCCCCCTCTTCCTGCTCTGAGGAGCCCATGAGGCTGCTCAGCAGGTTTCCTGGAGGGAGACAGCACAACAGGGATCAGGCGCCGACCCCAGCACCCACTGTGCCAGAGGGGGCTCAGGGCGTGCACAAGGATGAGCATAGCCCCCGACGCCTGAAGCTACAGACAAAACACCAGCACTCTCCCACTGGCTCTGTGCAGCTGTCACCACTGCCACTGCCACCAGGTAAGGAGCTCATACAGGGAGTGCACAGCATGCACACCACACAGAATTCCCCCTCACTCCCATCTGCACCTTGCCCTGTGCACATAGCCCAGCTCTGCTGGGGAGGACATAAGCTGGGAGAGCCAGGTGCCGCTGGGGACACTGCACTGTCATTCCAAGCTGAGGCACCAGCTTGGGAGGGCAAGGAGGAGCCAGAGCAGGAAGCCTCTGGCTCACACCCTGCACAAGCAAACTCCAGAGGAAGGAGGAAAAAACCCCTTTAACTACAGGGAAATAACTATTAAAGTAACCTCAATATAGGGGCCACACCCTGAAGTACAACCCAGCAGTCTCCATCCAGACCACAAAGGCACACAGAGAGCTGAACACAGTGGCACATGCCTGTAATTCCAGTACTCTGGGAAGCTGAGGCAGGAGGATTCCAAGTTCTCATATATATAACAAGATGTGCAATATAACAAGATGCTGTCTCAAGACAAAAAATAAAAAAGGACTAGGGATATAGCTTAGTCCAAAGGCTCTAGGTTCAATCCCCAATATCACCAAAAAACAGCAAAAAACTCCACAAAAACAAAACAAAGAAACCTCCACAACAACAATAAAATGCACACCTGGCCAGCCCGGGACCCTAGGAATGGGGGTGACAGCTCCACGTTTGATCCATGGCAGCACTGCCAGTCAGCACAAGGCTGTGGGCAGAACTGAGCTACACGGTACCCTATGCTCCATCAAAGAAAAGCACAAGGTACAGCCCCGTACACCGCCTGGTGCCACTCCAGGAATGAAATGTTCAAGATGCACATAGTGTGAGCCGTTCTTGCTCCAAGGATCACCTGGCTGACTGGTGGAAGGCGATGAGGGGCACCCAGCAGATCAGACCCAAGCTGAATCCTGGCCTGTCTGGTGGGCCCCAAGAGAGGGCACCTGGAGGGTGACTCAACTGAGGGGAATCCCAGTGGACCTTGGGTTGGCCCACAAGCTCACCTAGCAAGCCTCCATAGGAAGACGTCTGCTTGGGCGGCACGCCAAAGAACAGCTGTCCTATCCTGTCCAGGTACTGCAAGAGGCAGGCATTGATCAGCGAGTGGAGGTGGGGTGCCCTGCTGCATGGGCTGGGGCGGGCTGCCCTGCAATCATCCCACGCCCCAGCCCAGTAGCGAGAATCCTCACCTCGTTGTACATTGGGTCCCTCCGGAGGGACGGCTGGTACTGCTCGCACAGAACTGTGAACACTGCCAGCTTGCCGCTGCAACGGGATGGGGCCAGACGAGCTGTGCACAGCGCAGAACCATGCTCCGCCCCACCCCACCCCACCCCCGACACACACACATGTGCGTGCGCTGCTGGATGACCAGGCCAGCCCACAACCAACCTGCAGCACACTCAGCGCCTGCTGGACACTCACCCATCCACGGCCAAGAGCAGGAACCATATGAAATTGAGCAGGGGCTGAACAAACGGGGGACCGTCCTCAATTGACGGGTGCTTCTGTGTGTATGTCGTGAAGACCACCAATGCACTGTTTTTGTTTTTTAAACACAGAAACCTGGAAATCAGAACACTCCAGTGGGTGCCATACTGATAAAGACTTGGGTCCTGTGGATGCTCACATGAATGCTGACCCCTCAAGGCCCTGCAGGCATGGAGGGCCTCAGTCAACAAGAGCACCTTTGCAGGCCAGGACACCACCCAGAGTCGCCTTGAGCCTGGCAGGACCATGGTGGGGCTCTCATCTGGCTGCTGAGGTCCAGGAGGCCTGTGCTCTGTGCCCCTCATGTGCATGGCAAAGCCACGATCTTTACAACCCACAGGAGCATTCAGCTTGGGAAAGATGTTGTCTGCTGCAGGTCCATAGAACTGCAAAATGGGGCCAGAACCCGGGCCCATCTGTGGGACACACTGGACCACAACATCTTCCTCGACTCTGCTTGCATCTGCCGACACGAGGCTAGCACAGGGGCCAGGCAGTGCCCAGCTCAGCCCAGAGGAGGAACAGCTGTCCCACGAGTAGTGAAGCCAGGTCAGGGTCTCTTGGGTTAAGAGGATTTTTCCTTTTTTCTGCAGT